TCATTTGAGTAGGCCATTCAACAGCATAGAGACCCAAGACCCAATTGGTTTTTCTAGATGTCATGCTGGAACCCCAGCAGACCCTATGAGGTTCCTGTCAGCTCTATTTTTGTCACCGTGTCTGGGAAAACTGACTGAATTTCCTTTTATCTGGAAGCAAGCCCAACTCTGAAGTTGGGTGGATGCAGCCACACTTCCGCACCCAAGTTTCCGCAGGTTTGAAAACAAGGCTTGGGTGTTGCAGAGAACAGCTGTACTAACAAGCAGGGCTGTTATCTGTCCGTGACTAGCCCTGCCGGGGTGTCCAGGAGAGCCAGGGCAGTGACTACAGAGTGGACAGCCACACCCAACAGCAGAGCTCAGGGGGTGACAGGGAGAGCTGCCAGAGCCTAAGTGGGGCTGGTTCAGAAAAGGAGCCCCTGAGTAAACCTTAGAAACGACAAGAAGAGTCAGTTCCCCAGTGTGTGGTTCAGTCCCCTAAAGCTGCTTCCAGGCCCTTCAGAACGCCTGGCCTGATGACCTTCCCCTCCTTCAGTATCTCTGTCTGTTCTGGCCATGCTGGTTGGATGTCACCCCCAGGCGATCTTGTCTCTGTGTACAGGTTCTAATCACTTTTTCCTTTTTTAAAAATTTTTAAAGTTTATAGCAGTCCTTGGGATTGAACCCAGGGCCTTGCGTGTGCGGAGCAAGCACTGAGTACATGTCCGATCTTTTTTTGTAGATTTTATTTTGAAACACGCTCTCCCTGAGTTGCCCAGGATGACTTTGGAGTCACTTTGCAGCCCAGGAAGGTATTGAACTTTCCATCATTCTGCCTCAGCCTCCAGAATAGCTGAGATACTAGGCCTGTGCCACTAGATCTGGTTGGCTCTTAAACTTTCAAATCAGCTCAGAGCCCTTAGAGAAATCTGTGTGCTCTGCTAAAGCCCAGTAAAATACAAGTTACCCCAAACATCCCTTTGTCTGTCCCATTGCCTTGGTGGACACATAAGGGACATGATGGAGTTAATGCTGGCACAAGCTTATGAGGTTCTGGTATAGCCGCTATGGCATTCACCCCAGGCCTTGATGTTTTTCAGACAAGCATCCTGTGCTGAGGCCTCCTGCTGGGGAGTGTAGATGCCAGTCAGCAGTCAGCAGTTCCGAGCTGGAGGTGGAAATCGGTAACTTGGGAGAGAGTCAGGTAGCAGAAGGCTCACCAAGCCGCTTTCTTGTCATAGAGATTAACGTGGTGACGACTTCACTAGTTCTGGCTGCTGGCTCAGGAAAGGGAAGTAGCCAGACCATGACTCGCAGGGTGTTCATTTGCTGCTCTTCCATTCATGTCTCTGGTCGTCAGGACGGACAAATGGCCAGCAAAACCGGGAGGAATGCTGACGACCAAACAGCTACGGAGTTGCTACACTTACCCTTGAAAACGTTCTGGAACAGTCCCCACTCCACAAATAACACACAACTAACATTTTGTAAGATCTAATTCCTCTCTTGAGAGTGCAAAAGGGGCCGGACAGTGGTGGTGAATACCTATAATCCTGGCACTTGGGGGCTCTGAGTTCGAGGCCAGCCTGGTCTACCGAGTAAGTTCCAGGACAGCGGGAGTTACACATGGAAACCCTGTCTCAAAAACAGAAGAGTGGAAAGGGGCTGGCAAGCCGGTTCAGCAGAGAAAGGCGCGCGCCTGCTTCCAAGCCCCCAGAAGTTGTCCCCTCACCTCCACAAGAGGGTTGTGGCATGCACGAGCCCCACTCTCCCGTGCATAAACAAAAATAAACAATAAATAAAACTGTCACACAAAAACTTAAACGAATGCAAGTGGAATTGCTAAGGTAGGAAAGCATAAAAAGGAGACCTACGTTACCCACAATCCACCACCCGGAGGCACACCAAAATGGCTTCCTCTCTCCTTCTTCCAGGAGGCCCAAGCATGTCTCTCCTGGCTGCCCTAACCCCTCCTCATATCTTTCTGTTGCTGTATGTCCCCTGGAGAGTATGGAAGAGAACTTTAGCCCTGTTTGACAAGGGGCTTCGCAATGGCAGACCATTGACAAACATTCCTAGGGTGTGAGGCGTCCTGAGGAAGAGATTCCTGCCCCTGAAGGCATCGCTGTGTATGTGAAGAGGCGGCTGCCGAGAACAAATAAATTAGTAACTAAAATGCGCTTAGACAGCTGGAGGTGTCTCCGCTGGTAGAGTGCTTATCTAGCATGCACAAAGTCCCCAGGACCACAGGAGCCCCACGTGCCTGTGATGTCAGCCCTCGACAGGTGGAGACAAAGGAATCCTCCTTAGCTACATAAGCCAGTTCAAGGCCTGCCTGGATGCAAAAGACCCTGTCTCAGACAGATGTGTGTGTGTGTGTGTGTGAGAGAGAGAGAGAGAGAGAGAGAGAGAGAGAGAGAGAGAGAGAGAGAGAGAGAGAGAGAGAGAGAGAGAGAAGAAGAAGAAGAAGAAGAAGAAGCTTGGAATCATAATATACGGACCATAGCAATCGCCTGTAAATACTTGCTTACAAAATTTTATTACTAAGACATTTCATTACCAACGTATCTGTTGACAGAGTAATAATGATCACAAAGAGTCTGTTTTGAGGGAAAACATTGTTGGGGTTTAGGTGGTTGAGGATAGTTTCCAGGAGTGGTCTAAGCCCCCAGCCCTGAGCTTGGGAAGTGACAGGGTAGACAGGGGCTTGGCCGGGCCGTTCCTGACCCTGCATACCCCACAGCCAGCCTCTGTGGCCCCAGTGAGACGGGTAGTTCTAAGGGACACAGGCAGTCTCAGATCAAGCTGGGCTCCGCTGGGGTTCTCTCACTGAGAGCCACACGTGCAAGCTGAGGGACTTCCCAAGGAGGCCGGTAGAGATCTGGGAAAGGCCCCAACACCAGGGAGAGCTAAGGGGTTTTCAAAGCCGGCGTGAGGAGCAGGCAGGGACAGAGGGCCTGCCAGCCCTGCCTGAGGAGCAAGGACGCCATGGGAAGAGAAGTATCCAGAGTCTACCGTGATGAGCTGCTGAGTGATTCATGTGTGGCCTGACCCTCGGTCCCACCCCTCTCCCAGGACTTTGGGGTCAATCGTCTTCAGAGGTTGTAACAAAGTATCCATAGACCCGGAAGCCTGGCAGCGGCAGGCACAGACCGTCCATCCCCACAGGAGCAGGTCGTGGAAGCCGCCACTGACCTTCAGGACAACCTGGGCTGGGCAGGAGAAAGCAACAGAGATAGAACTAGAAAGGAACTTTCTGGAAGATGTGAGGAAAGCCCAGCACTGAGAGGACTACTAGGCTGTGCAGAGGAGGTGTGCTGGCTTGCTTCCAATGAGAGAAGGGGTAGAGAAGAGGCTTGAAAAAAGCGAAACCCCCTCCTTACTTATAAATATCATCTGTCTTGACACGGCAGCCACTGGGACTTAGAGCCTGGACACGGGTGTGTAAGGGGTGAGCTCACCAGCAGCCTCCTTTGATCTCTCTCTTTCCCTCCCTCTTTATCTACCCTAAAGCAGTGTGAGGCCTGGGGCTCTCAGCTCAACCCCTTCCCCAGCTGGGCCAAACCCATAATTCATATAGCCTGCCCTCCCACTTCAGAAGGGCTTTGGTGGTAAAAACACAGTCCTAGCTTGTACCAGCCTCTGCCTCCCCCAGGCCCTGGGGATTAGGATAGGAGGGATTCCTGCATTCCTTTGGACCACCTTGCCTCTGGTCTCTGTAGTGTCTCCAGCTTCGATGGGCCAGGACCAGAAGTTGCCAAGGTCCCCAGGGAAGGCAGTGTCACATCAGCCAGAGAAATGAGGAAGTGAGATCGTTTCTTTCCAGGAACCTCAGGCCTTCCCCTCAGACAAGCCCTTTCCCATGGCATCCGCCTCATACTGCCCCTGAGTCAACCCCAGTGCCCGGAGCCAGAAAGAACCCTCCTTAGGGCCCAGAAGTCTGCCCCGCAGTTCCAAGATGGAAGGAGACATCCAACAGGGGCACAAGGTCGTCGCCACCCACTGCCCTAACAAGCCTCAGGCTTCATTGATTCCAAAATAGAAAGGGTCATGTCCCAGATGAAAGCTGGGCCGTCTTTTATCTTTATAGCCTGTACTTGGCATAGTCTTTGCTAAGAAGTGTCTTAAGAAAAAGGACGATTCTTGAAGCTTCCTCTCTCCACAAGAAGCATCTCATAGGTCAAAACAGTTCCCATCCTTGGACCAGAGCTGAGCCGGGGATCAGAGTCCCTGAGTCTGACCTGTTTCACTCTCTGCATCCGTTGCCACTCGGGCACTGTAAGCATGATACCCATAGCCCCGAAGGGAGGGAAAGCAGACTGAGCTTCTGCTGGGCTGGGCACTTCCTCCTTGCCAGAGGCCCCCTTTTTCTCCGCTCCCTCAGAGGCTCGAAGAGACATCCACCAGCTCCACAGCCAAAGAGCTGTCCCCCTTGAAAGGCTTCCAGTAAATGCTTCCTCCACTGAGGAGATAAGCAGTAGAGTCCTGATAAGGAGAGGCCTGCCACCTTGGTTCCAGGCAACCTGCAGGACTGAGGAAGAATTCTCTGAATTCAGTACCACTCCCCCCATCCTCCCCCCCCCCCCGCCGACTCACTTTGACGTTGAGACCTCCGTTCCTAGAAACAGCCCCCAACAAGTAACTAAAAAACTAGAATAAGCTAGGGTCAGAGAGACAGGTCGGTGGTTAAAAGCTCTTATTGCATTTGGGGAGGTACCTCCTGGGTCCCAGCATCCATGTCTCAGTTCACAATGGTCTGTAACTCCAGTTCTAGAGCTCGGATGTATTTTACAGTGGCTATATACACACGGTACACATACACATATGTAGGTCTTCTTTTCTTTCTTTCTTTTTTTTGTGAGACAAGGTTTCTCTGTATGTAGCCCTGGCTGTCCTGGAACTAGCACTGTAGTCCAGGCTGGCCTCAAACTCACAGAGATCCACCTGCCTCTGCCTCCCTAGGGCTGGGATCAAAGGCGTGTGTCATCATCACCCAGCCAGGCAAACACGCTTACACATGAAAAATTTAAAAATCTGTTTAATTGTTTAATAAAATATGTTCATATGTAATGAGTCGCTGTTATTCTTTTATCTGAAAAAATATAATTTACTTTATTTTAATGCTTGCTCCTTTGGGTTTCTGCCAGGCATGGTTGTAGTGCTGAAGCCTTTGGCAAGTGAATCAAGAGTTTAAGGCTTACCTGTGCAAGAGTACTGAGCTCACTTAACCGCTGAGACACCCCACTAAACAAACTTGAGTGCATTTTATCAAGCATAATATATTTAAGAAGCAAATAACATATTTGATTAAATGTAGCTAGATTCCCAAACAAAACACAACTACGAGAAGGGTGACATTGTTTTACCCACCTGCAAGTCTGTCTTACTTAGAAGCCATCTGCCTTCTCATATGTGTCTCTGTATTCAACCTGCTTCATCATGTGTCTTGAAGAACATGAAGGGACACATGTCTGTAATCCCATCACTTGAGAGGCTGAGACAGAAGGATGGCCACAAATTCAAGGTCAGCCTGGGCTATCTAGTGAGTTCTAGGCCAGCCAGAACTGCATAGCATGATTTGTTTGAAAAAATATGGGAGAAGTCTCTCTTTGCAAACATATACATGAAAAGAAGCATTTTGAGGGAATTACTCCAGGTGCTCTTTGATACTACATTGAAACTTAACTAGTGGTCATGTCTCATGAGTAGGAAGGGTGTGGTCCTGGGGACTTTATGCTGTTGCGTGACACTATTCCTGTGGAGGCACAAAGTCTCATCTCAGACAGGGAACAAATGACAGCCCAAAGGAAGGATGCCACCAAAGTCCAGGTTGGTGAACAAGTGAATTTTACTGGGGATACTTACAGGTGTGTGGGTGAGGGGTTACTTTCAGGGGAGAATGACTCAAAGACAGCTGTGTCACCAAAAGCCCACCCCACATGGGTGACCACTTCTGAAACTGAACACCCGGAGCACACCTCACAGCCTGCAGGCAGCTCAACAGGATGGAGAGTGTCCCTTTCCAGGTGCCTAAGCTGGTCTCTGTCTCTTTCAGGTAGTTTGAGTGGTCTAGGTGGGTGTTCATTTCATACACATATACCCACTGTTACTATTATTATTTAAGCTTGTGTGTGTGTGTGTGTGTGTGTGTGTGTGTGTGTGTGTGTGTGGTGTGTGTGTGAGTGAGTGAGTAGAAATATTGCTTAATTGCCCTGGTGATATAGCTTAGTGGTAAAGTATTTGCCTAACATGTTCCACCTTCAGTTAAAAAAGAAAAGCAAGAAATGAAAAAGGAGATCCTGTATAATTTAAAAAGTTAAAAGCAAGACGGCATTATTACATATCTACCTGCATCTCTTTCCATCCACCCCATCCTCTCTATGTGGATGAGCATGCCCATCTGAAATGGTCGGAGGAGGGGGTATCTAAGAGAGTGTCTAAAGAACGTGGAATGAGCTACAGGACAGGACAGCCATGAGAAAAGGGGCCACTAGAGAGTGAAGGCTGGCTGGGGAGGCAGGGTGACAGTCTGTACCATGACAGAAAGTCACGGTTTATGCATGAAGACAATAGCGTATAATGAAGGTTACCAGACAGAGCAAAATAAAGGGACCATTCACAGCAGGTGGGCAGAGTTAAGGGAACACATAAGAAATGACACCAAACTGTTCCGTGAGCTTTCTTGGCCTAGTTCTGTATATTCTGACTCTGCCCAGCTATGTCACTTCCTGCCTGTCTGTACAGACCTCCAGATCTCTATGGTTAACTAGTGGCAGTTTCTGCCCAGCTATGTCACTTCCCGGGATCACATGACGACTCCTCTCTGCCTACACTTCCCAAGAATCCTCTTTGTCTCTTGTCCTGCCTGGCCAACCAGTGTTGCATTCATCAACCAATAAGACAAACATACACACAGAAGAACATTCCCCATCACCAAACAGCTCGGCCACAGTAACAGCTAGAAACCATCACTTTGCCCCAGCCTCAGGGGGAGGAGAAAATGGAGATGAAGATCTGTAAGAAGCTACCTGACTGGACCTCAGGTGGCCCAGGAAGGAGAGCCAGTGGGCCACAGACTCTAGGCCCACTCTCCTCTTGGATGCTCACATCCTACTAACACAGCCCAGCAAGAAACCAGAAGGAGGCCTTGTTCACATACTTCATCAAAGAAAGTTTTTATACAAAGTTGTGTCTTGGATATCAGAATTCTCTCTGGGGCAGGTACCCAAGGTAAATAAAGGCAATGTATCTTGCTATAGGAGCTGCCATTGTATTCCTTACGTTTGGGCATTCATGGAGGGGGTAATTTCACTGGGGGTTTTTAAAATTAATTTCTTGTAATTTTGAAATTAGAATTACATTATTTTCCTGAAATTCCCTTTCCTCCCTCCAAATCTTCCCATATGCCTCTCCTTGCTCTCTCTCTCTCTTTTTTTTTTTATATTTTATTTTCCAGTTTAAATTTAGATAAGAAACAAGGTTACTTCACAAGTCAGTTTCAGGTCCCTCTCTCTTTCCCTCCCCTCTTCCCGTGCCCTCCCCCCACCCCCCCCCCGTTATCCCCTCCTTGCTCTCTTTTAATTCATGGCCTCTTTTTAAACAATTGTTACATGCATATACATATAAACATATATATATTATACACACACACACACACACACACATACATATATATATAGCCTTCTGGGTTTGTATAATATTACTTATATCTGTTTCCAGGACTGATTATTTGGTATTAGATAGCCCTTAGGGAAGACTATTTCTCTTGCTGTCAGTATTCCTTAGCAGTGGGATTTTATTTATTTATTTATTTGTTTGTTTGTTTTGTTTTGTTTTTTTCAGACAGGGTTTCTCTGTGTAACAACCCTGGCTGTCCTGGAAATCTCTTTGTAGAGCAGGCTGGCATTGAAGTCATAGATATCTGCCTACCTCTGCCTCCCAAGAGCTGGGAATAAAGGCTTGTGCCAAGCACACTTGGCAGGATTTTTTTTATTTATATTTTTTCCACCTCTGGATTTTTTTTAATGAGTCTCGTGTATTGCAGGCTGACCTCTTATTCTCTATGAAGTCGAAAATGACCTTGTGTTTTTGAGTCTCTGTCTCCATCTCTCAGGTGCCAGGATTACAGCCATGCACACCTAAGCCTTATTTTATGCGTGCTGGAAATTAACGGCAAAGCTTCATCTATGCTAGGGAAACACCTGACCACTCGAGGTCCCGTACTAGCCCCCATCATTCTCTGAGACAATCTCAAGAAGCCTCACAAGTTGAGATTCTTCTGCTTCAGCCTCCTAAGTACTGGGGTTATAGACATGTGCCGGCACACACAGCGAGAATAGTTTTGATGAGGCAATAAGAAGTGTTCATTTTATTAACTTTCTTCTCTTTCTTTCTCTTTTCTTGCTTTGTTTTGTTTTTCGAGTCAGAGTTTCTCATTATAGCCTTGGCTGTCCTGGAACTCGCTCTGTAGACCAGTCCGGCTTCAAACTTACAGAGATTTACCTGACTCTGCCTCCCATCATTTCTTTTCTGTTTGTTTGTGACAAGATTTCTCTGTGTTTCCCGGGCTGCCCTGGAACTTTCTGTGTAGACCAGGCCTGCCTCTGCCTCCCGCATTAAAAGCATGTGCCACCACTGCCTGGCTGTTACATTTTACTAGTTTATTGTGGCAAGTGCTGAAACATTTATCAGTCAGTCACAGACCCTACCCCACCTCTTTCTCTCTCTCAAATCTCATGTAGCCCAGGCTGGTTTTAAACTTGTTACGTAATCAAGAATGGTCTTGAACTTCTGGTCTTCCTGCCTTTGTTTTCTGACTATTGACGCAATGCTGGTGATCAAACACAGGGCTTTGTGTATGCTGTACAGGTACTCCGCCAATGGAGCTACATTCCCAGCCCTGATGTCTAAATGCTTTTAAATTTGGACCTGGTTGGTTGGTTGGTTGGTTGGTTGGTTGGTTGGTTGGTTGGATGGATGGATGGTTTTAAGACAGGCTCTCTACATAGTCCTGGCTGTCCTGGAACTCACTGTGTAGACCAGGCCGGCATTGAACTTTCCTTGTCTCTGCTTCCAGAGTACTAAGATTAAACCACCACACCCAGCTAACCTTTCTTCTTTTTGCCAACTTCTTGTCAGGATACGTGAGTTGTGCTACAGTGACTAATCCATCAAAACTAGCCCCAACACAGTGACCATCAGGTGATTCTGATGACACTTCTAGGCTACTTCTAGAATTATGATTTCTAAAGGCACTATCACCTCTAGGGAACCCTCTGAACACAAAGCCTGGGCACCAGAGCTCGGCAGCTGGGGCTACACATTTGGCTTGTCTATTGCTCACTAATAATGAGGAGCAGACACCTACCGAGTGCTGTGGCACAGGGAGGAGCCGGGAGCTAGTCCCTCTCCATCGTGCAGGTGGAGGAGGCGCTCACAGAGCCGCAATCAGATGGCCAATAGATTCCAGGTGGTCGTATACAGAAAGACAAAGCCAGGGTGCTCAAGGGACACAGGTCTTCCATGTCCCCGTCTGCTACACTAGGATTCAGGGATTGACAGCTAGGAAAGAAAAGGCTGAGTAGTGGACAGCCCCCGGGGGAGAAGAGGAAGAAAAGAGAAGTGGTTCAAACACTGGACGATGCAGAAAACTACAGGGTCAGAGCATCAATACAAGTGGCCTTGTCAGCACTGGTTAGCCAAGCCTTGCAGGGACGGAAACGGCTACTCACCAGGGTCCCAGCGTTGCCCGCTGCCCCTTGGTTGGAATCCCCTTCTCTGTTTCTGGTCTCTCTTCCATGGGTCCCCAACACCCAGATCTGACAGAGACCCACAGATCCTCTGAATGAGGCAGACTGGGGGTCAGTCGTGAGCAGCCAGAGCCCCACATGCTCTGGCTGGGGGAGCATTTATAGGTCTCTCTCTCTCTCTCTCTCTCTCTCTCTCTCTCTCTCTCTCTCTCTCTCTCTCTCTCTCTCTCTCTCTCTCTCTCTCTCTCTCTTTTTCTGGTTTTTCGAGGCAAGGTTTCTCTGTGGCTTTGGAGGCTGTCCTGGAACTCACTCTGTAGACCAGGCTGTCCTCGAACTCACAGAGATCCGCCTGCCTCCGCCTCCCAAGTGCTGGGATTAAAGGCATGCACCACCAACGCCCGGCTATAGGTCTCTTGATGGGAAAGTGAAAGCAGTTGCCACTTGAAATCTGGGGGCCACCAGGCAAGGCAAGGGCCACCCTGTAAGGGCTGGGCAGATGCAGGCTCCAGGCTGTCCCCAGCCCTCCGGAGCCCCTGTTAGCATGCCGAGGAATAAGCTGAACTCCTGGGGCTGTGCAACAGCATTGTAAGGCAGCAACGCGTGCAGCCTGGGAATAGCCAACATCAGGCTGTGGAAGGCCACGAAGAGCTGCTGAGGAAACAGGAAACAGTCAGCACGGGTGGGGGTGGGCAGGCCTAAGACTTACCTGATGCCAAACCCTTCTACCCCAAAAGTTACTCCTTTGTCTTTTCCCCCCAACATCCAATCCACCCTGCATTATTGTATAACTCTCTGAACTCGGGAATAGTTTGATGATCACGTTCAATAGTCAATGACGTTTCCATGTAACGGCTCCTACAGAAAAAAAAAAAAAACACAATCCTGCCCATCCCCAACCCTACCCCCCCAACACAGGGTGTCACATCTCCCAGAATGGCCTCAAACTCAAACTTTCGAGTCTTTTGGCTGCACTATCTGAGTGCTAGCATTAAAGGAGTGTGCCACCACGATCAGTCTGTGCAGCGCTGGCAATTGAAGCCAGGACTGTGTGTCTGCTACATTAGTGCTCTACCAGCTGAGCTACAACTCCGGCCTGACGATCTTTTTAATAGAGCAGTAGTAAAGACTCCAAGGAAAAGCTACTCAAAAGGATGAAATTATCTGGCCCAGGATGCCAGTTGGGCAGGCCAATGACCATTTAGTTAAGGGACCACCCTCAGGAAGACAGGTTCATCTTAAACCATGCTGAGCAAATTGGAGACAGAGGCAGACGGCAACTGCCTATAGTTCCTTGAAAAGGGCTGCGTTGACCTGGAGCTTGAAGTAAGGTACCTGAATGTGCGCCATATGCATGTTCATATACCACACACACACACACACTCACAATCACACACACATGTATATGTATGTATGTATGTATGTATATCTCATATCCCCCCCCCCAAAAATCCTTTGTCCCAGCTCTTATCTAGAAAAGAGCAAGTACAGGAAGAGAGACCCTGGGGTCCGACTCACCTGGGGAAGACAAAGCTAGAGTTGGGTGGACAGAAATGAAGGAGAGACCTTTTCCTTAGCGAGCACTAGCACCCTACGGCACTCACCAAATCAAGTAAGCCCATCAATCCGCTGTGTGCCGTCTCCACTGTCAGCCCCTGTACTGACCGCCCACAGCAGTTGTTGCTTGTCTCTGGCTGACAGCCTCGGCGGCGTAACCACGTCAGCCAAGCTGAGAGAGGGTCCCCCTGGGGTTCTGTCCCTATTTAACAGAGAGGCAGCTGGCACCCACCCTTTTCTCCAGACTCCGGCCCCCAGGGAGCTGTGTTTGGATGGCCTCTCCAAGCTGCCGTTTTAACCCATTCCTGTGTGACACCAGCCCAATGAGCACGGTACCCGCCTTCACTCAAGTCCCTGTACAGTTGCAAATGCCGCTGGGTGGAAGAGGGCATCGGGGCGGCTTCGGTCGGGGACAGTGTGACTCCTACTGTACTCGCTCTGGGAAGATACCTCCAAGCCCCTTCTCTGGTCCAGGCAGGGTCAGGAAGAGCAGCAAATGTTGTTCTACCAATGCCACACGTCCACCAGAATCCACGTCTGCCGGAGAGCCACCCTTCACGCTCAATGCCGTCTCTGTTGTGAGATTCTCTTCGTGAAAAGCCCCTGTGTTATAGCTCCCGGCTGCAGCATGGGCTTCAATACAACGTCCCCATTCATTCAAGGCTCACCATTCTTGGCCACACGGGCTGCTGGCTCTCTGAGGGAAGCTGCCTGGGTGCAGAGTGATCTTCTCACTTGGCGTTTGAAGAGGCTAAAAGCAAGCTGACTGAAATCCCCCTCGTCACCCCAGTGGCCTTCTGGGAAACGCTGGCATGGCTCAAAGCACCAGGCCCGGCGGTATATGCCAGTCAGCCAGTCTCTGGGGAGAGTCTATGTATCTCTTTTAACATCTCTGTCAGCCTCCAAGCTCCTGAGCTGCATGATATCAATGGCAGGGTACACAAAGCACACAGAAGAAACTTTTTTATCCCCTGGTAAGTTAGAGAGGGAAAAGTACAGGCTCAAAGATACCTAGATCTGAATGGAAAGTTGGTTCTAGGGAAAGGGGCAGCTGAGAGAGTGTTGTTTGTGTATTACTAGCTAGGGGTAGAGCCCAGAGCCCTGTACTCGTGTTCTGTGGCTGAGCCACACCCCCGGTCCAGATAATTGACTGCTTTGAGCTCAAGTAGGTTATTTTGACAGACCGTTTATGCACCCAGAGACTACCACACTGGTTCTCAAGTCTTGAAGGTACATCAGAATTGTCTAGAAGGTTGGTTAAATGAGCCCATACAAGAAATGGCTCGGGGTCTGTGTTAAAGGAGGAGAACGCAAGAGTGACAGGTGATGGGGTGACTCCAAGGAAACAGCGACTTCCAGACACAACGGCACTGATGCACACATGAACTCGGAGATTGCCACAGCACACACAGCACCTGCACAGGCTCAAACCAGGGGTGTCAGCACACACAGCACCTGCACAGGCTCAAACCAGGGGTGTCAGCACACACAGCACCTGCACAGGTTCAAACCAGGGGTGTCAGCGCTGAAGAGGGGAAGTGGACCTGGGTTCCCACCCTAACCTAGATAGGATTTGCAACTGATACGTGCTAGGAAAGGAGAGCGAGTTTTCTCCGATGGCATGTCCAGGGTAGGTCTCATGCTCAGAAACAGTCGGTCAACACAAAACTATGCTTTTTTAGTGGGTTTTTGTTTAGTTGAGTTTTTTGTTTGTTTGTTTTGTCATATTGGTTTTCACTTATTGGTTTGCATTTTATTTTTAATTTTTGTTTGTTTGGTTTTGGGTTTTTGGAGACACAGGGTTTCTCTGTGTAGCCTTGACTGTCCTGGAACTCACTCTGTAGACCAGGCTGGCCTCAAATTCACAGAGATCCGCCTGCCTCTGCCTCACCAGTGCTGGGATTAAAGGTGTGAGTCACCAACGCCTGGCTCTTGAGTTTGTTTGTTTGTTTGAGAGAGAAAGAACAGGAAGCTGGGTAGATAAGAAGGTGAGAAGTAGGTGGGGGAAGAGAAAAGAATATGACCAAAATATAGCCTATAGAAGTTTTCTTAAAGAATTGTGAACTCTAGTACTGGGCTGGAGCCTGGCACTCTACATTCCTGACAGGCAGTTAGGGACCCTCATGCTGTGAAAGCCTGGAGCAGAGTCTCCTCAGATTTCAAGGGTTACACACTGTTTGACACAACTAAAACATACCTAGTATATTCCCAAAGACGATTTCAAAGCAAAAAAAAAAAAAAAAAACAGAAAAATACCAACATAGGCAGATAAGCTATCATACGGACAGACCACTGCGGGGCAACTGACAGCTGATATAACAGCAGGGCTGTGGGACACCAGGACGTCACTAGTGGGTGATGAAGACACCCAAAGCTGGCTGGGACCTACATGGTGGACACAGACAACCCCAGCTGCCCTTTGCTTCATAAGCACGGTGACTCTGTGGAGATGGAGACTTCACTGTGAACTCCTGGACCCCTGTGACTGCCATGGGAAGAATTCAGGTGGGGTGCACAGAGCATGGTAGAGCAGGTGGGCAGGGTTTATTGCAGAGTAGAGCAGGGTACATGCTCCAGGGGGAGACCAGACAACGGCCAAAGGGCACTCTGCGTCAATCTTCAGGTCTAAAGTCTCGAAATAGGCAACCTTTCCTAAGGGCTTTTTCCAGGCCAGATGATTGACAAGCACATTTGGACTGATGCTTCTAGAAGGGGAAAATAGGATGTCTTTGATCTTTGTCATAAAGCCTCTCTCTGGAAGGTAACCCTGTAAGGCTTAGTACTCCTGAAGCCAGGTTTAGATAGTTATCTATTCAAGATCCTACAGGCAGTTGGAATGTCACATTTCCTGAAGGGCCAGCATGTGTTTCAGGCCTCTGAGTCACATGCAGAGCCCTGCAGCTCCGGTCCTGAATGGTACAGTCTTTTCAGGGAAAGGTCCAGCCCCCGTGTTCTCCTGGCTGCTATCTGCCAGGTCACTAACAGCATCACTGGCCTTGCAGAATTGGCTGTGCCCATCTTGCATCTGATACAAATGATGAGAACAGGAGATTAAAAACTGGTCAGGCAGTTTAGGGAAAGTGAACAGTTCTACTCTTTGTCCTTGCCAACCAGTTCTGTTTTGACCAGAAGCCAAAAATACCCTTCTATCAGCAGTTGCATCCTGGCCAGAGATCACAAATACAAAAATAATAATAATAATAATGATTTTTTTAGAGGCGCTGGCTTGTGTCCTAGTGTCAGCACTTATCTTTGTCCTTTGACAATCCTTCCCCGGGGCTCTCTGGTCATAGGGAGCTCTGCTTGCTTTCTCCAGAGCTCTCGCCTGTAATTAAACTCCTTTCCCAAGTCCATTCTTCCATTGTCCGTGATAGTCATTCGTCCAGTCTGCTGATTGGATTATCTGGGACCTTCACTCTGTAAGTTCGGTGTTTTAAGAGTTCTACAGCTGAGCGGGCCTGACCCCAGGGCAGCAAGGGATTGTCAAGGAAGCTTGTTAGAGGACAAGAGACCCAAGCAGGATGACAAGACAGATGATTGGTGAAGAGGAGTTGGGAGTACACAAACGCAACGATAGAATGAATGAACTCTGTAAGGGGGGGTGGCTGTGCGCCACCCCAAACCTTGAGACCAGACTCAACGACCAGAGGGTGCC